AGAAGAAGAAGAAGAAGAAATCCAAGGTTTGAGAGAAACTGCTTTCACAAAAAAATTCACTGTGACCAGAGAGAACCTTCCCAGGTGATGCCACTGGGTGCACTAAATCAGTGTGTTGCTCAGTGCTCCCCTTGTGGGGGGAAATGCCTACTACATAGGAAAGCTCCACCCAGCAGAGCCTTTTCCAGTTTTCTTTTTTTTTGTTTTGTGCGTGGGTGTGGTGGGGGTGGGGGAGTAACCCCCTCACAGGTTTCCAAGGCTGTCAATCTTGACAGGAGCAGAGTCTCATCTTTCTCCCACCGAGCAGCTGGTGGGTTTGAAGCTTCAACCTTGCAGTTAGCAGCCCATCTTACTTGAGAGCACCCGGGCATCCTAGACTGGTACTGGCAAGTGCTGCAAATAGGAAGACGCTTGGCGGCCAACTGAGAGGTTGGAGGTTCACCCAGCGGTATCTCAGAGGAGAGATCTGGAGATGGACTTGCAAAAAGCCAGCCACTGGAAACTCTAAGGTGCACATGCATATGCTGTCACAATGAGTCAAGCAACTGGTGCTGGTCAGTCAGCAGAGCACCTAGGGGTGCCTCACTGTCCAGCCATCATGGGGTCAAGGGGTCTCTGTGCAGTGTGGCAGCCTCAGCGGGCTTTTCGGAAAGCCTAGCACCCCGGCAGGTACCTGCTGCTGCTCGCCCGCTTGCTGGGTGCCTGGAAAACAGGTGAGAGCTCAGAGCACGTGGCTGGGGCGGCCTCTCCTCCTTGCCTACTCCTGACCGGGAGGCGGTGGAGTGGGGGGGGCGAGGATCTCAGCCTTTCACGGGTTTGGAGGTCAAAGACCCTGGACTCTCACTCCCCGTGTCTTCCAGCCCCCTGCTTCGTGGCCCTTCCGGCTGGTGTGGGACCCCACCCAGACCAGCCCATCTTGTGGAAGGAGCGCCATCGTTGGAAGGCGCTGCAGCCAGGGCAGGTGCAGAGAAGCACCTACTATCAGCTCCCTGCGCCCTGTCTGCAGGCTTCTCGGAGCCCCCCACCCACACCCCT